AATTCCAGAACTCTGTTATGAAAACAATTTTTAATTGTGCAAGATCTCCACTCTTCTTTAAGTTGTAGATTTGTTTAAATACTTTATTTTTTACAGTGCTAAAGGCCAGTGGGGTAGCAAAGTTAAACCGGTCCGCACGAGCTGAGCAAAGACAGACGTTATATGCATGTTGGATGGCGTTGGCGCAAAGAGAAAGACACACAACATGCATGCAGCGGGCGGAGCGGCGCGCAGGCGAGGATGGGGCTGCCTTAGTCAGACTCCCTGAAGCAGCTGCTGCCCCGGCTGCGCGCGCTGCAGGGCTTATTTCTTCGTCAAGTAACACATACCTGACTAACTAAAATTCCCGCCCCAAGTTGATTAGCTTCGGTGAAACTTTTAGTCGGATTGCAAGTCATGAGAGCGGCATGCATTATTCCGGTCCGGAGCAACTTTAGAGTGAGGGCGACGCCTTTACGTTCACCGGGCGGGGCAGGGAAGGGCAGGACGGTTCGGAGAGTAACCACGAGCTTACCGGTGCGCCCGCCCTCCCACCCGGGCCCCGGGCCCCAGTGTAGCGGGGCATGTTGAGAGATTATCATTTTCCGCATCCAAGTTTGTTCAGAGCGGGAGTTACAAATGGGCGTGGCCCGGCGGGGCTCTCTCGCTTCCATACTGCGCTGTTGTCATCATTTTCTTTTGCTTTCTCTTCTCGTCAGGCAGCAGCAGCAAGCGACGTTAACAGAGACAGCAGCGGGGGTAGGGCGTGCTGCACTCAGAGCGCGCCTCGCGTTTGGTTGGTTACACTGGAGTGCACCATCTTGGCGCCGCTGTGAGACTGAGTCGCTCGCGGAGGGCAGGCAGACCTTTCTCCGCTGCGTCGCCGCTTCCGCTTCGGTTTGGTTGAGATGCGGACAAAAGGGAAAGACGTCGCGTCGGGGTGGCGGGTGGTGCAGCCAGCGGGGGGTGGACGCTGAGGCGTGACTCTCGCCGAGGCCTCCAGGGGGCGGCAGCAGCAGCGCCGCCGAGCCGGAATGCATCCGGGGTGAAAATTTAATGAAGGCAAAGAGTCGTATTTCCTGCTAGTTGAGAGTGGGCCTGGTCCATGCGGCCGACACACAACGCTTTTCTCTAGCCGCCACTGGCATGGGCCCGGCCCGGTCCGCCAGCCAGGGAGCCGTTATAGTAGACCGGCTCGGGGTCTGGGGGAAAGGGGGTCTCCCGGCGCTGGGTTTCTCTGACGACTATAATACAACACCACGGCGGCCGGGCGCGCACTCTGCCCGACCGCATCGGAGTGTGTATTCGGAACAACATCTGTGTCGCCGGCGTGCTCCTATGGGTCGGGTCCTATGACTCCCATGGGGCTCCCATTACCATACGCACAACACGCCATGCCCGGCGGACCCCGCAGCCCCACCAGCTTGGCCACTCCCCACCCTCCGCACCCCCACCGGGCTTGACTTTGCCTGGCCAGCTGGCCAGGCCTGGCGGTGTCGATGGCGTGGATCACCACCTCTACCCTGTCGCCCTTTCGTTTTTGTTGGGAAAAACTTGAAGTTCAAGTGGGGGTAGTGGCATTCCTAAGAAAGACCGAACGCCTCACTGTATCTTATTGTAATCGTCTTACGGATAGTCCATTTTTAAGAAAATGAGAGCGAAATAGGTGGCGTAGCACGGTGTGTATGAGGGATTACTGTTATGTGTCGTACCGTTGCAGGATTGCATACCCGCAAGGGCTGCAGGGGCCATGGCGCCTTACGGGCGAATTGGGTAGGCAAACCCGCAACACTGCTGCGTATTCTCGGTTACACTCGGTACAGTAAGTGCAGACGATGTTGTAAACATTTCAATGTGTATCCTCGTCATACAGGTTTTATGGGTTTATTCAGATGGTAGCACAAGACGAACACAGCGTGTACAATAATAATTATTATGAACCATGGTTTTAAATTTTATAGTTATAGTATCAAATATAGACAATTTTCAAGATTTTGCTTCGAGTACGGACTCCATCTGATCTTTTTTTCAACATTACAGCGAACTCGTCTTGTGAGCCTGCGGCGCAGTGGGAGAGGAAATATGTTCGTCCATCTCTCCCTTCTCTTCTCACCCCTCGCGCTTTCGCTCTCTCGCACCGTATTCACACACTCCTAACCTCCCCAGCCCAAGGCCCTTCAGGGATAGAGGAGAAGGCGAGGTTCTTCTTCTTTCAGAGGCAGCAGGCCTCTTTGTTCTTCCTTTCCTCTCTCGCTCCATCTCAGTCTGTCTCGGACGCTCGCTGCTGCCATACTATGGCTACTTTTTGCGCCTCGCTCAAATTGCTTGCTCCGCGTACCCACTCCAGGCTGGCCTTGTTTTGTCTGACGGGAGAAAGAGAGGGGTGAGGAGAGGGGGGTCGCTCGTCTGTCTCACTCTCGTGTCTGATTCATCACTGCAGGGTTTGGTCATTACCGCGCCCCTAAATGTGTCGCTGAGAAGGAAAACCCGGTGAAAGTGAGAGGAAAGAGGAGGACGATATCAACCGTCCCCCTCCCTCCCGCCCTCCCAAAAGGAAAGTAAAAGTCAGCTAATGTGGTTGGCTGTGTTGGTTGGCATTTCTATCTCGCGCTCTGTGGTCGCCATTGTGCAAACCGGTCTGCGACGCGATCTGCCTGAGTATTGGAGAAATTTCCCTTGGGAGGACGTCGAGTCACCAGTGAGCCACCGCGGCAGCCAAGCCCGGCGGGGGTGAG